AAAGAAACAAAATACAACAATAACAAAACTTATAAAATATAAAGACCTCCTACAACTCAGCAACAAAAAACAAGTTGATTTAACAATGGGCAACGCACACACACAATGGGCAAAGAACTTGAATAGATATTTCTCCAAAGAAGATACACAAATGGCCAACAAACACATGAAAAGATGTTCAACATTACTAATCATTACGGAAATAAAAACCAAAACCACGAGATACCACCTCACTCATTAAGATGGCTATTATCCAAAACAAACAAACAAAAAACTAGAAAACAACAAGTGGTTACAAGCATGTGGAGAAATTGGAACACCTGTGTACCACTGGTGGGAAAATAAAATGGTGCATCTGCTATGGAAAACAGCATGGAGGTTCTCCAAAATATTAAAAATAGAATTACCATATGATCTAGCAATTCCACTTCTAAGTGTTTAACCAAAAGAAATGAAAGTAGGTCTTAGAGAGATTATTTGAATATTCATGTTCATAGCAGCATTGTTCACAATAGCCAAAATGTGGAAGTAACCTAAGTATCCACTGACAAATGTTTGGGTAAACAAAAGAAGGTGTATACATACAATGCAATATTATTCAGCTTTGAAAAGGAAGGAAGTTCTGACACATGCTATAATATGGATGAACATTGAGGACACAATGCTAAGTGAAATAAGCTAGTCACAAGAAGACAAATACTATATGATTTCACTTATAGTAGGTACCTAGAGTAGTCAAATTCATAGCATACAGTTAGATAGAAGGAGTAAGATCTAATGTTCGATAGCAGAGTACGGTGACTATAATTAACAACAATGTATTATATATTTCAAAACAGCTAGAAGAGAGGACTTGAAATGTTCCCAACATATAGAAATAATAAATATTCAAGGTGACAGATACTCCAACTATCCTGACTTGATCATTCTATGCAGGTACCAAAATATCACATGTACATATTTATAAATATGTATAAATATTATATTATCAGTAAAAAAAACTATTTGAGGTAGAAAAAACTGGTTTTTTTATTTTTACAAATCACTAACAGAAGTTATGTGTGCCGGGCGCGGTGGCTCACGCCTGTAATCCCAGCACTTTGGGAGGCCGAGGCGGGTGGATCACGAGGTCAAGAGATCGAGACCATCCTGGTCAACATGGTGAAACCCCGTCTCT